GGCCATGGAGGGGATGTGAGGCTGTGGGTGCCTGGCTGGGGTCACCAGCTTGCGTGAACCTGTGCGCAAGCGCAGCGTGGGCTAGAGCAGATCTGAGACGCAGCCCTGAGTTCGTGCCGTGCTCCTGTGTGCAGGTTCCGGGCCCGAGCCTGGATCTGGGGCTTCAGCCCCTCCTGCATTCCTCTTTTAATTATTTGTGGGGTTTTATCCTCATTTTTTCATCAGGTTCCAGGAAGCGTGGGCCCTTGCAAGCTTGCCCTTCTAGCAAGCAGCTGATCACAGAATCACAGAATGGTAGGGGTTGGAAGGGACCTCTGTGATCTGCAGCGCGTGTTGATGCAGGAGAGCTTCTTTGAAGCACAGTGGCATCCCCTGCGTGCCCTGGAGATGCCCCGTGTCCCTCTGTGCTCGGTGACAGCAGCCTTCCTGCAGGCCTCTATCGCAGCCTGGTATTTCAAATTTTGTCCACCTGGAAATCATTAAAAGTTTCCTGTCTGCGCCGGGTCTTCTGCTGTGTCTCTAGAGGTGGAGAAGCTTTTGGGAGGATGGGAGGAGAGACCCTGGGTTAAGCACTGTCTTGGTCCAACAGTGCACCACGCCTGCCCTCCTGGAGTCCTGTTCTTCCATTTCTGAGCCATTTCATTAACTCTGTGTTGATTTAGTCCTGCCAAGGTAAAAAAAATCCTACTCTCTAGCTAGTCTGGGGCTTTGGTTTCATCTTCCCTCTGTGCCTGTGAAACTTATTAGCAAAATCCCCTCTGCTGCTTGCTACGCTGGTGACGGGGTTGTCCTTCTAGGGTTTGACACCTGATGGTGTTGGACATGATCTGTGAAACCGGGGTGGACCTGCTGCTGCTGCTGAAAATCCCCCCTCTCCTCACCCTGCATTCGTTTGGGCTTGTCCCAGCCCCTCCTGGGCAGAAACCCTTTTGGGACCTGGCTCTCTGCAAACACGCAGCTCAGAGCTGGGGGTCCCAAGTCCTGTCTTTACAGGGTCGTGGACCGTGGGCGGTCAGGGGCTGGGCTGGTGAAAGGCTCAAGGAGCCTCAGACTGTGGGAGGAGCTGGGATGGTAATGGGGGACAGGGCTCGGCTGGTGAAAGGCTCAAGGAGCCCCAGACTGCGGGAGGAGCTGGGATGGTGATGGGGGACGGGGCTGGGCTGGTGAAAGGCTCAAGGAGCCTCAGACTGCAGGAGGAGCTGGGATGGTGATGGGGGACAGGGCTGCCCTGGGCTTGGGGACCGCTTGGTGCCAGCTGGGCGGGCGATGCAGGGGGGGACACATTAAAAGCTGGGGTACCCGACGGGGACGATAGGTTTTGTGCTGTGCAGACTTGTTTGAGGTCTGACCACCCTCCAGTGACAGGGGGTGCACCAGCAGCTCTGTGGGTCTCCTTGGAGCATCTGCGTGAGGGACTACGGCGTCACAGAGATGCAGCTTGAAGCCAGATGCTTCTCTAACCCGAACCTCTCAGGGAACGCTGGCGTGAAATGGTGAGATGCTGATGTCCCGCTGCACACAATGCTAATGAAACACTGGCTGTGACTCACAGAACCACAGACTGGTTTAGGTTGGAAGGGACCTTACAGACCATCCAGTTCCAACCCCTTTGCCATGGGCAGGGACCCCTTCCACCAGCCCAGGCTGCTCCCAGCCCCGTCCAACCTGGCCTTGAAACCCCACCAGGGAGGGGG